GAGAGAGGGAACACAAGCAGGGGGAGTGGGAGAGGGAGAAGCAGGCTTCCCGCTGAGCGGGGAGCCCGATGCGATGTGGGGCTCGATCCCAGGACCGATGTGATGCGGGGCTCGATCCCAGGACCCTGAGATCATGACCTGAGCCGAAGGCAGACGCTTAACGACTGAGCCACCCAGGCGCCCCGACCTTTGGCCTTTGTATCCGACATCTGTATTCTAACAATCCTTTCCAAGTGCCTCAATTAGTGTGCCAGCATTAAAGTAGTTTATATCTAAGACTACAAAAGAGTGACCAGAGAAAAAAACTCAAACTCTGATTAGTTGTCCCCCACCAAAAGATGCTTCAACCAAAGACTGAAACTTGGAGAAACTGTTATTTTTAGGAATAATCTTTTCTTAGGCTAACCTCTAGCTGTTCAACTTCTCTAAAATTTCCAAACAAAAAGAAATCAGAATTAAGTGTATTATGGCACTCAATCCTTATCAGGACAATGAACACATCAAATTCACAAGGCAAGAGGGATTGCTCATTGCTAGCAAAAATTAGTTTTTCCTCTGTTTTATGAAGTGTGAGAAGAGTATATAGAGGGTGCTTTGTCACTAGTTAGGGAGAAAAAAAAACAAAAACAAGAAAAAGCTATGTACTCAAGAAATAAACTCCTTTCTGTAAATGTTGGTATTTAACACAAAAGCAGATTACTAAAACAAGTCCGGCATTAAATTAAAACATTTTTGCTAAAATTATATGATATTCACAAAATTTGGCTTTTTAAAAGAACTCAAGAGGTCATTACAAGGCAAATTATGAAGATAATGCCTTACCTTTCTGCACTTGATAAGATGATAAGGAAACCTGCAGGCCCTGATCTGGTGGTTTTTATCATAGGGGCATTGTAATAGCTTTTCAGGGTCCAGGGAATCGACTGAAAGAAAGAAGAGTAGGATAAACATAAAGCTTAAGCTTTAAACCTTTGTAAAACTACAGTATTCCAGGCACACTGGATTTTTAAACAGAATCTATAAGAATAGAACATGACAGTCTAACAACAACTTGGAATTAAAAAAAAAAAAAGGGTGACTAAACATTTAAACATGAAAATGTAACTCCGGGAAGATAAAACTGTATTACCACCAAATCTTTGTAAGTACAGCAAAACAAGCTGTCATGGGATAGGATCTTAGTTCATATCTGGTTGTACATAAATTTGTTTTATGCTAAGGGCAACCAACAATGAAAACAACAATAAAGTTAAATGAAATGATACCCTTTTTTCCCTTCTAGACGTGCTAATTCAGGGTCATTCTTATATCTAGCTAGCCTAAGCAAAGCCTCTTAACCAGTATGCTAAAGTTAGAATGGATGGTGTGCCAATATACCAGTGCAGGGTACCTCTGCACATGCTCCCCCATCCCCTACCAGTCACTTCTAGGGCAAGTTGAGGGCAGTTACTCCCCTTTGCCAGCATTCTTGCCTATTGACTAGTATGTTATGGCATGAAAAAAGTTCATAAGGACTGCTCTAGATCAGTTATAAGCTCTATGGAAGCTTGATAGGTGATTTCTTTTTCATCTGTCTGCTTGGATTTACTACTATAAGTAGTTCCTAATCTTGGTTACTCTAGATACCTCTCAAAAGAAACCAATACCTTTATCAGATAGGTGGTTTTACTTTTCATAGTTTGGCACACAGATGAGAAAAAAAATCAGAATTCTTTAATCTAGTGATTATCAAATTGGGCAGATAAAAAAAATAATCTGCAAAAACAGAACGTCCTAAATTTAAGACAACTGCAGACATATGGAGCTGTTCTGTGAAAGAAAGCCCCTAACCTAGACCATGCTATTTAAAACTTCTCTTAGAAGACTATATTTTCAGGCGCCTGGGTGGCTCAGTTGGTTAAGCGACTGCCTTCGGCTCAGGTCATGATCCCAGAGTCCTGGGATAGAGTCCCACATCGGGCTCCCCCCGCTCTGTGGGGAGCCTGCTTCTCCCCTTCCCTCTGTCTGCCACTCCCCCTGCTTGTGCTCTCTCTCTGTCAAATAAAAAAAAAAAAAAAAAAAGACTATACTTTCAGGAATCATCTCTACATAGTTACTTAAGAAGTTTCTCTAAATGTGTAAAGCTACCCGTAGGCTTTACAAATTTTAGCAAGCTTGATTAATGAAGGGAAATTAAAAGGGTTAAGCACATTCTGAGTGTATTATAAGGAGGACAAGAGGCAACCTAATAAAATGCTGTTACCATCATTGAAGGCAATGATAAAAGTGAAATAAGATAAACAATTCACATTTGATAAGGAGCTTATAAACCAGGAGACTGCTATGAAAATCAGAAGCCAGTGGGGAATTGAAACAGACAGTTTCACTGGAAGAGTGGTAAACATGCAAAAAATTGCTAACCATGATCGTGATGCAAATGAGCCAGAAAGGTGACTTGAAGGACAGAATGAATAGGAAGGAAAAGTCTTAGAGGACAGGCAAGTTTATTGGACCAGGCTCATCCTGACCAGCAATCTTTTCATATTTCTGAAGCCTCAGGACACCCAGGGAGAGTTTACAGATAAAATTCTTATTAGTTTCCCTTCATTTAATCCATTCCATCATGAGCAAATGTTAGGTCATGTCAGCAGCTGACAGACCAGACATACCTTATGATTCATACACATTATGCTGCCTATACAGTGACATATATCAGAGTTGATAATGACGACTTCCTATCACAATGGTTTTACTTCCTGGCCTCTGGTAACTTAGGTTAGCTCTAAACTGGTTTTCTAGATTTAAAAAATTTTATTTTACTTTTAATTAAAAAAATTTTAATGGTGATAAAAATATGTAACATAAAATTTACCACCTTAACCAATTTTAAGTGTATAATTAGGTAGTGTTAAGTATATTCACACTGTTATGCAACCAGTTTCCAGAATTTTTCATCTTGCAAAACTGAAACTCGATACCCATTAAGCAATAATTCCCTATTCTCTCCTCTTCCCAATCCCTGGCAACCACTAATTCTACTTTTTGTTTCTATGAGTCTATTCCAGATACTTCATATAAGTAAAATCATAGTGTATGTCTTTTTTTGGACTGACTTATTTCATTTAGCATAATGTTCTCAAGGTTCATCCATATTGTAGCATGTGACAGGATTTCCTGTACCTATTTTGCTATTTTTTTTAAGTTTTTATTTATATTTTTTAGTAATCTCTACCCCCAATGTGGGGCTTGAGCTCATGACCCTGAGATCAAGAGTTGTATGCTCTTCCAACTGAGCCAGCCAGGTGCCCCACTTGTTTTTTCTTTTTTTTAACTTAATATATCCTGGAGCTCCTTCTATGTCAGGATATAAAAAGAATATAAAGCAAACAAACAAACAAAAAACCCAAAACCAAACCAAACCCAAACAGGAATATTTCAGTGCTGCATACGGATTTGCCATAGATTCTTTTTTTTTTTAATGATTTTATTTATTCATTTGAAAGGGAGAGAGA